AATGTTGTTGTATAGCGGATTGTTGATAATTTTTTAGATGTTTAGAGATTAATTGATTATCCTGGTCCGCGTAATTTCGCTGTTTGTTTTAGTTACATTAGTTTTCGCCTGGCTTTCCGCTGACGTAAATTTCTGCAAAATCAATTATGAAGTTCTTAGGCGATTGGCGAGTTGTTGAACAGTTATTGGCAGATTATCCCGAATATAGATAATAGACCGATAAATGTGAAAGATACGCTTGATATCAAATATCCTGGGAGGTAAAAAAGTATGGCCTCCTGCGTTTTTGTAGTAAATAATTGTAATCGTTATAATTTTCATTTTTAGTTGTTTACTGGATATTTTTCAAGAAAAATATAAGATATAGTTAAATAATTAAATTATTAAACTGAGTAAAACTATTTTTCCAAACATTTTGCTATCCAAACAGTGAAGAAAATATTCAATTAGTCCGACGTACTCCTCCTCTTGCGTTGATCATCGCTTGCTTGACTTGGCATCGATTTTATGAGGTTTTGAATGTAGTGATGTGGAATATTTTCATACTCCTCCAACAGCAACATTCTTAATTCCTACAAATTATTTCGCCTCAATGGGCAACGTTTTACCCTTTTTGACAACTCGTCCCAAAGATGTTTAATAGAAATGAGTGGTGATTAGTGACTGTTGGTCAATGATTATTCGGAGATTATTCAAAGTGTTTGTTTTCTGTGTAATTGTGTAAGTAATGAGATATTGCTGTTTTATGTTGATATACGTTGGATTTTGAGGAGGTTAGGAAGTAAGTCGATATAAAAAGACATTTTTATATAAGAAGTCGACTTCTTTGAGGTGAAAGGAGCCGACGAAAGGAAAAACGTTGGTAATGTTTAATCCAGATTATCCATTCAGGATTATATAGACGGAATACTTGAAAAAAAAATCCAATAACGACAACATACATATATCATCATCACATCACACAAAACATATAACATAACATATGAAATAATTCTTTACATTCACTAGTTTCGTGGTCCGCTTGACCAATTAATATCTTACAATTAATTAAGGTTTTTAGTTGAGATAAAAAAGTCAATGGCATAAGCGGGAATCGAACCCACGACCTTCGGCTCAAAAAGGTGGGGTTGACATGGGAAGTTGGTGTCCGAGTGGATCGAGGTTACGATAGCTCAAGTGGTAGAGGTGGCGTATTTAGCCGAAGGTCGTGGGTTCGAATCCCGCTCGTGCCATTGACTTTTGTATCTCAACTAAAAACCTTAATTAATTGTAATATAAAATAATCATCACATTCCACACATCAGACATTTCTAAATAGTATAATTTTTCAACAATTTAGCTTTTCTTTTCCTAATTATCGCCTTCTATATAATCCTGAATAGATAATCTGGCCGAACCATTACCAACGTTTTTCCCATCGTTATATAAAAATGTCTTTCCATACCGACTTCCTTCCCCACCTCCTCAAAATCCGACGTTTATAAACATAAACCAATATCTCACTGTTCCTCTCAACACGACACACAAGAATGGCACAATTACGCAGAAAACAAACACTTTGAGTGAGTAGAAATACTTTGATTGAATATAAAAAATGTTTGTTTTTTTTGCATTGTATAAATTCACTTTTTTCCACATCCTACATGTTTTTGTTAAATTTAAACAATGTTTGTAAAGCCCAGGCCCAGAAGATGATCTCAATAAAGCTCGAAACGATGGCACTATAAAGAAAACATTTTTCTAAAACCTACGTTACACCAGACCGTATCTCACGATCTCCGAATAATCAATGTTCGATAGAAGGTTTCACCAATGATCCGAATTGTGTGGCGCCTTGCATTGCGTGCAAAAATAAAACCGTTGCCAGTTAGTGGAAAATAGAGAATAACTTCTTCTGATAACACATCTTCAATGTATCGCGCAATTGTTAGGGAACTCTCGATGATGATCATGTTTGAGAGACATTCCATATAAATGCCTGCCCAAACCAAAACATACCACCTCCATAGCTACTCCGAAGTAAAAATGTTGCAGGGATATATCGCTATTCTATGATTTTCCAAGCCCGCTCTCGGCCGACAGAAACCTACACTCATTCGATATCGAGATTTTAGTCCAATCTTGAACAGACCAATCGATGTGATTTCTTACGAAACTTAACAGAGCAGTTCTGTACCTAGACAGAGATTCTGCCCCACTGGCAGGCTTTCTCCCACGTAATCCAACTTCTGATACTCTTCCCCTTACAGTGCATAAACTGCTTAAAATTTCTGTTGTGCTGAAATCGTTTTTGATTCCATAGGGGTGGATGGTCTCTTAAGGAGTTCGTACGAAACAATAAAATGTTTCATGTTCAAATTTAATCCATTTTGTGATCCAATTAGTCAATTATTGTGCTAATGTTTCATGCATTCATTTTATTAGTTAGTTATAAATATGTTACTAAAATATGGTTTGCGATGGCATTTACAGAAATACTAAAATAAAACGTCTCAATAACTTTGGTAAAATCTTGATTATATTTTGGTAAAATAATTATGAAAGTACTGTGAGGTAGCCGTGTACTAAGAAATTTAATTTCAAAGTGAAGATTTATAAATTTTTTAAGTTATTATTTAATTTTTTTATGGTTATTATTAACACCGCATTAAGGAATCAGACTCTCAGCCTAGTTTGTGGGTTCCATTTCAACCGTCGCCCTTTGAATTTCTGACTCTTTCCCCAAAAATTTATGGTCATTCTATAGATTAGTAATATCATTAGATATTACATTAATCATTACATTCGCAAATGTCAATCTATTTTTACGCCATAGTTATCAACATTTGTTTATTAGTTACAAAAAAATTAAAGGGGGTGGCGGAGCAAAATCAATATAAATTTAGACCACATTTTTTTTTTAAATCAAATTTGACACAAAGTAGATAAATGAGTAGGGCGAAATTATTTAAAATTTTACAGTACTTTATGCAATTATATTTATTAGGAACGTGATACTAAAATTTTCTTTTTAATATTCTGAATCAAATTTTACGGTTAAATAATTATGAAAAGTTTCAGCCAATCTTGTCATATAAATCAATAGAAGAGAGAAAAATAAGACAATAAAAACAAACCAATAAATGAAACATCTCTAGTCAATTTTCTTTCTAATCTGTTGAATAAAAAAATTTGAAATTTATGATAAGGTTGAAAGGTTATGTGATTTGACGACTGATAAGAAAGATAATAGGAGTATTCATGACGTTTGTTAGTTTTAACTCCTGATAACACGAATAGAGAAATGTCCAGTAAGATCATGAATGCCCCCATCTTTTCTTAGCATGTTAAACGTTAATTTTTCCGCAAAGCTGCTCTTGGCGATGGGTAGAACCAAAAGAAAAGCTATAACAGTCCCTGAAGGCTTGTGGTTGTTTGTTATGGTTTTCTTTGGTGTTAGAAGTCTCTAATACGAAATTATATAGGTGATTTTACAACCAAAACAACAAAATACAACGACGAAAACGATAATTTATTTAATGAATATATATTAATAATTAATTCAAAATTATGGAACTAGGAGTTTTTATACAGTTAAAAATTTACTTTCCATGATTGATGGTGTACTATATCAGCACTATAACTGCCAAAGATAATTGTTTACATATTTTTAAGTATGATTCATCATTGACAAAGGCAGTCTATGTTTATTATTTGGATTCAGCTTTAACTGAATAGTCCCGAGATGAATAAACTGCCGACAATGAAAACCGCTGTTGGCGTCCTCCTAATGGTTTTACAGGGCGACATTTCACATCGATTGATACCTAAATCTCATTTTTCCTTCTCACAAAGGTCAAAACATATCCGGAGGGTGTTGCTAGATAGAAGGGAAAGTTCAAATACGCTAAAATACCGGTGGAATTAGGAACGCACTTGGATGTGAATATCTGACAAAAGGCATTTTTCGTTCCGATGGAAAAATAGCTGAGAACAGTCGTGTATTTATTTTAACACTACGGATTTCTATTGATTTGTTAAATATTGAAAAAAAACACAGGTGACAACGTATTTTTCCGTTTTAATTGCCAGTCAGACCAGAGTCATATAGCAAATACAGGCAGATGATTGTTGGTCAATATAGTACAGCAGGAATCACTTTTTCACGGTTATGTATGATTTTCAGCTAGATTCAGTAGTACTTTTACGAGAAGCTATTCGTTCGATGGCCTGAAAAATGATGAAATATTCTCGTTTGATTGACCTTGCCTACATGGTCTATTTGCTCAGAAATTTGCTGAAGGTGTGTAAACGCTTCCACTCAAAACAGGAAAATATGAAAATATCAGACTGCAGACAAATATAACAAAAATTGTATGCCTGGCAAAGAAGTAAAATACCAAAGGGCCAAATTATTGTCAAAATAGCTAACTGTCTATTATACGTTTTTTTGTTGGAAGGACAAATAATCTGATTAAAGAAACTTTTAAATTGTCACCAAAACCAAACCTTAGCCTGCATTATGTCTAAAGCTTCACATATCACTACATCCAAAATCTGTTTCATCATGTATTTATGTCAGATTCGATAGATCAATACTAAAGAATAAAATTGAAAGGGCGACAAATCATTGCCATTTTAATCTTTCATTTTATTCCTTTTCCTATCCTGACCTATATTTTACCAGATGTTTAATGCTTTGCAACAAAGTTAAAAGGAATACCTACAGTATAATAAGTCATTGTAATATGTACAGTAATATTTTTACTTCAGATAAGAAAGCTTACAGAATTTCAGGGATTAAAAGGAAACAGGAGCTATGCAGGAAAAGAAACTGACACAGGGGTAATTTTTATTATAAACTATACAAAGCGGTTAATATTATAAATGGCATTAGTACGAAGAAAATTACGTTAATAAACTATCGAAAACATTAAACATTAAAATATAGAAATTAGTCAATAAGAGGGATGGTTGCTTAGGAAAATAGTTTATATTAAAATGCACACAATCTAACTGACCTTAAAATATAAAATTGTCTTCGTTTTATTGTTTCTCGCTACATCTGAAAAGAAAAATTATCAATAACAAATTTTGTACATGTGTATAATTTAATTTTACCATACTTGGGCAATAGAAAAATCCTTTAGCGATCAGTAGGCAATGCAGCGTTACCACTGTGGAAATATTAAAATTATTAATAGATATACAATTAAAGCCCTCAATACTCGCGTAAAAATTTGTTACAGATAATTAATAAATAAAGTTGGGTACTTAATAAATAAGTTATTTTATTAAATTTGAAGACTTTATATCGACCAAAATAAAATAAAATATTTTGCTATATCACCTTCGTCCCTTGTCTGATGTTACCAAGAAGAATGGGCGCTTGTGCAGCCTGCATCGCTTTGGGCCAATATGGCGTTGTAGTGCGACTGCGCAAAGTAGTCGCCCTTGCAATTTCAATATTTGAATACTATTTTAAAGAATTTTTAAAACATTATTTAAAAACATATTAAACATCAGATTCTACATAGTTTACATTTTACTATAAACAAGTGCTATGTGTCAATTGTTATTTGAAAAAGGACTACTTTGCTTTTTTCAAAAGGGCGCGCTCTGCACGTCACAACTGATAAAAGTGAACGTCCATTCATTATTTCATCACCACAACATACTTTCTTTTTCAAATTACAATGGTTGAAAATTCATTATACATTGCTTTTCAAGTGTGTAATGTAAATAGATGCAGAGAAAGATAGGTACAGATATATATATATATATGTAGAGAGAGAGAGAGAGAGAGAGATAGACCGATATAATATATATATATATATATATATATATAAAGAGAGAAAGAAGCTATAGCTAGATGAGAGAGAGAGAGATATGAGGTAGAGAGAGAGAGAGAGAGAGAGAGAGAGAGAGAGAGAGAGAGAGAAGAGAAGATAACGAGTAACAAAGAAACAACTATAGAAATAGATACACATTTACAAATATTAACTATTCATTCTATCGTAATTTCCATTTCAAAATGTGTTGTTTAATTAAACTTAGTTGGTTGTTAAAAAGTAACTTTTTAAGTGGTATAATACAATTTTGGACTAAAATGGAAATGGACCTCCGGCTATCAGTTGCCTTTGATGTTCCACACCACCGGTTCGTTAGCGTATAAGAGTGTGTAAGTTTATGACAATTCAAATTAACCTCAATCCTTTTAAAGTTGGTTTTACTTAATGTTTTAAGAATAAACTGCCAAATTAAACTTTCAAATGGCACAACTTGAACCGAGGAAAACCTTCGAGAGTTACACTAATTAAAAGTCTATTAGATTGACCAACACAGCCTTCCCGTTTTGCAGTTTCGTTTTAATCTATTTCCAACTCGTTAAACATAAGATCATCAATCAGAACATACTGTACCAATTCTAGAGGTTATCAGATTTATGGTATAGTTTGAATGATGTAAGGAAGTACGGATAAGGGTATGTATTCGGGGTGAACAAGTAACAGGCATGTTCAATAAAAACGGATATTAGTTGATAATTATTATCACCCTTTTTGTCACCTAATCTATTTTTGGTCACATAGGAACATCTAATGTTCCAATAATGTAGCGATCATCCTCCAGGCAATTATTCATCTGGGTGATTTCTCCATCAGACATTACTATACTCTATTAAACAAAACCCTCCTCGAAAACCTCCAGGGATTACAACACAAGTATTACAAAATTTGTTTCAAAAGACTTTACTAAATATACATATATAGCTGTACTCAGGGCCACATATTTTCTGTTGCAATTGAAATTTAATTCAATAATTAAATTGATTCATAAGCCAAATATATCTTCTAACTTTTTTCTAATTTCTAATTCTAACTTTTCTTATCTGTCATTGCCAAATTCTAGAAAAAATCCTCCGAGGATTATTGCCCATAATTGAAAACTTTAATATTATTCCCGAACATCAGTTTGGATTCCGCTCATTTCACTCTACACAACTCAACAGCTGCATCATGCTGTTGACAATATCGCCTCTTCCCTTGAATAAGAACAGCATTGCTTGGGCGTTTTTCTTCATTAAAAACAGGCCTTCGACCAAGTCTGGCACTCGAGTTACTTTGGAATCTAAAGATTATCTTCCCTCAAACGAACTTTGTCATAGTGAGGTCATATCTGACCGAATTTTTTCTATCCATTCATATTTTCAATATACTTATCCAATATTCCTACACGAGTTAATATTTTAACATATACATTCGCTGACCATACAGCGATTCTTACATGGAATTCCTCCATAAACATTCAACTCTTACAACTTCTGAATGAATTAATAGTGAAACAAAGTGAGCGTATCTAAAATACAAATTTTACTTGTCGTATCTAAAACTATCTGTCCCGTAGAAAGTATAAATGGAAACCCACTGACCTTGTGCGTTATCTTGGATATTTCTTGGATAAATGACTGTCTTGAAAAACTGAAACCACAAGAAACAAACAGAAGTTATAAATTATTAAAAATACTACTTTTCTCACGACTCAAGATAAAAATAATACCTTTCTGAGCGTACAGTTATGAACTGTGGGGCTCAACCAAGCAATCAAATGCCCATCATCTCCAATCACTACAGTCTAAAATTAGCCGTACAATTATAAATGGTCGTTTTATGTTCCAATTTCACTATTCATAACATCAAACACTTCCCCTTTGAACATGACCTCACCAAACACCGCTATAAAAAACTTCATCAATCCCTAAGCATTCACAACAATCTACTACTACGACAGTTATTATTTCCAACCCTAGCAGAAAATTCTCCAAGACAATTGAAGCGGAAGTTGCCCCGAGACGATCTTCTTAATGAATGAAGAATGACGAGGTTTCTGTGTGAAGAAGTATTGCTAAAATGAAAAAAAAGATTCTACTTTTTTTTAAAAAAAACTGTGTTTTGGCAGACTAAAATGATAGGTAACGACCATATTTCAAATTACTCATTTACTCACAGTTTTTTTAAATTCAAAATGTAGTTGTTTTCATGACTATTTCGTCAATAAGGTTATTTAATTGATTGGACTTAATTGCTCATCCACAGTCGTACCTGTTATATATTAGTTAAAACTAGGTTTCAGGCTTAGGGTTAGAGATGATAAGTAACTCATCGATATTTGGAGGATAATCAAATAGATCATTTGCAGTAGCTTAGATTTGCAGTTTACAATTAATTTTAGTGGTTTTAACCAAATTTAATGCTTTGTCGAAAGTGACTAACAAGTGGAGATGATGCCTAACATCAAAATTTTCCACAAATTCTGCTCTATACACAAACCAAATCTATAAATCTTCTTTCAGCCTGCCGCCCTATCCTCCTTCCTGTAATGAGTACAATTCTCGAGAAGCTTCTATTAAACCGCCTTTAATCAATTGAACCCAAAACAACTATTCCCAGTCAACAGAGTGGATTTTGATCCGTACATTCCACAATCTATAAATGTTATCGCGTTGTGAACATCATTTTATCCTTTTGAACAGAATTAGTGTTGTCCAGGTGTGTTCCTTGACAATGCTCAGGCCTTCAACAGGGTTCGGCACCCGGGCCTCCTGTGGAAGCTGAAGGGTACCTTACCCAGTAACTACTACCTTATCCTAATCGTACCTGTTTGATTGTTAATTCGAAATTACACAGATCACAGCGATATCCCGTATGTATCCTATCCAACCTAACATCTCACGATGGCTTCACTTGGGACTCACCTTTGTTGGATATACAGTGCTGACATTTCCTCGTAGAAATAATCCTCTAATATTTGGCTGGCAATACATCAATCTTTTTCCTTCCTAACTATCCTTCAGAACTATTGGCAGTACCTTTACATATGGTAAAACAAATGCAACAACGAACCAATAAAGTATCTTCACACATTGCCGTATTAATCTTCTACATGTTTTCTTTAACGGAATTTCACTACTCCCTGTGGGACAAGTTACTTGGAACATCACCTAGAAAAATGACTTATTTCGAACACACAATACCATAAAAAGTTGATATGCACCATGATTCTCAACCTTAGTGGACTTATGGTATCGAGCGTTTGGGTTCAAATAAGCATTCCAATTCCCTACGCATCCAAACGTTCAAATGAAGCCCTAAGAAAAAACCGTAATGTTCCATTTGTTTTCTACATTCGGACCTACTGAAAAAAAAACGAAACTGGTGTGTGTGTGACTGGAATCAATAAACAGTTTCTAACACAGTGACGCGGATCTACACTCGAAGCGTCTAAAAAAGATAGAAATTACTAGTTCCTTCAATGAAATCAGAGAAGGAACGCAATTCCTCTTCGTTCGTTTACAGTCATGATTACGTATGATACATTAAGTATTATCATCACTACAGATGAACATGTTGCGTTCATGTGTTTTTCAACTTTATGTTATGCTTTTTCAGTGTCGTCGTCCTATCATTATCCAGGAAATGTAAAGTTATATAAAACAAGATGTTTTTCAACTTTTCTCACAAGTATTACATTCTCTAGTTAATTATTCATCTTGAAAATCACTCCGAACTGATTATTAATGTATTAATAATCACTAATGTTACATTGGAATTTTGGAGTGGTTAAGGATGATTGAGGGAGTATGCAGGATGTCCTTTTTAGATTGTCCGGCTGAATTTCTCTTGAACCAATGACGTATCAAAAAAAAAAAATACGTGTTTTATATTTTTAGCCTAGTTTCAAATTTTAACATTAATATTTTACCTTATGCTGAATGAAAACCATGCTGCAATCGGATTTTAAATTGAATAAACATTGACAAAATTATGGCAAAATTCACTAACTTCGTGGTCCAATTGACCAATTAATATATTACAATTAATTAAGGTTTTTAGTTTAGATAAAAAAGTCAATGGCACGAGCGGGATTCGAACCCACGATCTTCGGCTTGATACGCCGCTGCTCTACCACTTGAGCTATCGTGACCTCGATCCACCCGGACACCAACTTCCCATCTCAACCGCACCCTTTGAATTTTCCCTCCTTTTTGCCATTTTTCAATGTCGTGTTATCGGGTTGGATTCTCAATATGGCAAAATGTTCATTATGGCAAACTGTTTGAAATAAAAACGGTCATTTGGTTTGCTATTTATTAATCATAATTATTAATTTCATTTATTATTTATTTAATTTCAACTTCGAACTGCCTGAATTACATAAAGATGCAAAGATTTGTTCTTTTTAACCATGCTTCAGGTGCTCAGAGCAATAGAGTCATGGGTGATAGATTGACAAGCATTTTTTAACCTTTGCCGCTCTTTTTGATATAGTCAACATTGTTTTAAATCACTGCCAATAATTTCCTTATTTCACAATCTGTACATGCCTAAAAATCAAGTGTATTGTTTCACCTAGTACAGAACTGCCCAAATCACCATAAACGCAATGAGGTTTAGCGAATTGTGTGATGTGATGATTACATGATTTATGTTGGACGACTGCTTTTTGCCACGCCATCTATTTGTATGATCAGTACAGAATTATAATTGGGCTAAAATTTCAGTAGACCATTAGTCTACCCAACCTACCAAACTGTTCATATTTCTTATTTAATCAGATTACAGATTTCTATTAACATATTACAGGTTTTCTTACAAATTACGAGAATAATTCGATTTATTTTATTGAATAATTTTAGCAGTCCTAACGAATATAACCTCTTTGATAGATTTCGTTCATACCTTTTTGTCTGCCAAATCCTCTGAGTATATTAGTTGATGTTTTGGCAAGGTCGGTGTTGCTCACCGAAACGATCATATGGTTTGAAGTATAGATAACGGTTTGATTCTTATGAATTCTTCACAATTCCGTATCCATGTTTACATTAGATTTAGTTTAATGATTTGCTCGCCCTTCGCAAATTGTTGGTGAACGTTTTCCTGAACTTTAGGGTAATTTATAAAGAATGATTCATTTTTTTACGCCAGTTCGGCTTGTTATGGTTGGAGATGTTAAATCTGTTGATTTATTTTTTCTGGGTCATCCAATTTCCGTTTGATACACAGGTGGAATTTTCGCTGTTCAACCTGTGGCAGTTATTTCATTTCGAACGGAGTCGCACTTTATGTGTTAGCCGGTGTTTATGTGATAATCAAGAGCATTAGCATGTAATTGAGAGGTTGTGTACGTTGTCCAAAGCACGTGATGCTCCTGAAGCATGTGCGCATGGCCCAGTGGAGTTTAATCGACGCATGCGTTTTAATATTAGTGACGATACCTGTTTCTGTGCACGGTCAGGAATTGCTTTTGTGCGGACTTACTCTGATGGAGCTCTCATTTTACTACGATCACACGTGACTAGGACCATCAGAAGACGGGTTTTAAGATAAACGACCACGGTAATGTGACAGGCCTTATCGATTTCCTATGCCAAACGAGCCTGAACCAAACCAGGCGGATCTTTAGCACGCCGTATTTTTTTCTGGTAGTTTAACTTCTTCCTACGAGGGGTTGAGGGGCGGTTTGCGGATGGTGGGGGATGGTTACCGTGTCAGCCAGTAAGTGGCACATGGGGCGGGCTTCGTTGAGAAGGAAATCGATACGAGTTGGGGGTGTGTGCGCTAGACTTTCCCGCCAATATTGACCCGAAGGTGGGGAACGAGGGTGAGAAGGGGCGGTGGAAACGGGAGCGGCGCAAGTCCCACCCCCGCGGTCATCTCATCAATGATTCAATCACCCTTCCCACTCGGACAATGCTTACCGGTAAATACAGCCCGCGCCTGCATATTTCGCCCTCCCCGGCCCTTTTACATCCGCAATTCGACGGATGTCGACCTCCGATTTTCAACTTGGCCGTGAACAGATAGTGGAAATCAAAACGATATTCCCTGGGTGAAGGGACAGAACTGTTTTCAACCTTATCTATCCCACGGGTTTGTTTTTTTCCTGCAACAAGTTTTTGCGTTTAACCCTCCAACCCTTGACAACACGGATTCTCCTCGGTTCAGGCATGTTTTTGTTTTTGCAATACTGTAGTAATTAACAAACGACTCATTTTGACGCCTGGTCCTAACAGAAATGTTTACTGTACAAAATATGAACTACAAAAAAAGGCATTGTTTTTTCCTATGTGTATACAAATATACACCCGTCTCGGTTTATTAATAATAATTTTAAAAAAATAAATAGAACGACTGTGCATAATCATAACGAAACCTTGTATTTTATAAACAGGAGGACACGTGAAATAAGAAAATTGTTGTCCATCAAACCATCCCATACACCTTTAACAAACCATGAATACCATAATCATCAGCGTGCAGTATTATATTAAAGTATGTCATCGCATTTGATTTTTATAAAATAAAATAAAAAATTGAGCATTTGTGGTATATTCAAATAATTAGGGTGGGAAAATTGAAGCTTAGCCCAGTATGTTTAACAACCAAGCAGAATTGCTGGCTCTAGTTTAATCCCTTGAATGGCTACACCAAATTAACAAAGAAGAAATACAAAGTTCCATCTTCACTGACAGCCAAATTTCCTTACAAAGCCTGGTCGATTAATGAAAACAAACTACTCTGGTAGACGAAATTCGTAAATTGATATCGGCATTGAAATACAAGGCGTCTGTAATATTTAATTGGGTTACGACGCATGTAGGTATTGAATTAAATGAAAGCGCTGATTCATT